GCCAGAGCTTGTGACTGACCCAAGGTCACATCAGCAGGTACAAGTGGAGGAGTGGGGAATCAAACCCGGTTTTCCCAGATTAGAGTCCGCACACTTAACCACTACACCAAACGGACTCTGACAGAACTACGGCTTGCCCAAGGTCATCCAGCAGCTCCAAGTGGAGGAGTGGGGAATCAAACCCGGTTTTCCCAGATTAGAGTCCGCACACTTAACCACTACACCAAACTGACTCTGATAGAACTATGGCTTGCCCAAGGTCACATCAGCAGGTGCAAGTGGAGGAGTGGGGAATCAAACCCGGTTCTCCCAGATCAGAGTCCGCGCACTTCACCACTACACCACTACACTAACCCATCAGGTTGTGTGATAGTTCTCCATTTGAAGACAGATTTTTGCAACTGAGGAACAGAAGGCTACTAACTCTGGGTTAGGAAATACCTGGAGACTGGGGAGGGGGGGTGGACTCTGGAGATGGTGAAGTTCGGGGAGAGGAGGGACCTCGGGAGCATTCAGTGCCATAGAGTCCACCTTCTGAAGCAGCCATTTTCTCCAGGAGAAGTGATATCTGCTGTCCGGAGATCAGTTGTAATTCCAGGAGACCTCCAGGCCCCACCTGGGGGTTGGCAACCCAACCCATCCCACCCATTCCGCCAGGCGCTACCACCTCACTCTCCTGCATTTATAGACTTGGCCCCAGTAACTCATCGTACGGTTATATAGAGCTGCCGTTAGCCAGCCGAAAGCACGAGCTTTTCTGTGCCCAGAATTTAATCTCCTGATTGATGAAGCATCTAACAGGCGACTGCAATGTTCTCTCCCCTTCCACATTCATTCCGAGCATGACCTGTCACAAGGCCAAGAAGATTTCTTGCGAGGCCTTTTAAAAAAAAACCAGAAGGAGGGGAAGGGAGAGAGAAGGACTGGAAAGCGCCAGCATCTCCGGGCTCCCTGGTATCCCAGCCAGCCTCCTCCCTCTGAACGCCGTCCGGCTAAAATAATGGGCAACCTGGCAGTGTCCGTTCCAGACCTCCCATTCTCTCTTTCCTCTTCTCCATCCATCCAAGAGAGCCGGCAAGCTGGCTATTGCCTGCTTAGGGACATACCATCCTGCTTTATGCTGAGTCAGAGATTAACTTGCCAAGGGTCGCATTATCTGCCTTGATTGACGGCAGGTCTCTGAGGTCTCTGGCAAGGAAAGCTATTCCCAACACCTGGTCTGGGAGCTCCTACCACCAGATATGCCAGGGACAGAACCTGGGACCTTCTGCATATAAATCAGGAGATACCAGTCGAGGGAAATGATAGCTGAGTCAGAGTTTAGGGTTGCCTGGGAATAGAGGTTGGTTTATTTTCTTCCATGACTGTGCATGTGTGAGAGACAGAGTGTGATGTGCCGTTAAGTCATGTCTGACTTATGGCAACCCTGTGAATGAGTGACCTCCAAAACATCCTATCCTGAACAGCTTTGCTCCGGTCTTGCAAACCGAAGGCTGTGGCTTCCTTGATTGAATCCATTCATCTCATGCTGAACCAGTTTGGTGTCGTGGTTAAGTGCGCGGACTCTAATCTGGGAGAACTGGGTTTGATTCCCCACTCCTCCACTTGCAGCTGCTGGATGACCTTGGGTAAGCCATAGTTCTGACAAGAGCTGTCTTTAAAAGAGAGCAGTTTCTGTCAGAGCTCTCTTAGCCCCACCTACCTCACGGGGTGTCTGTGGTGGGGAGGGGAAGGGAAAGGAGTTTGTAAGCCGCTCTGAGACTCCTTTGGGTAGTGAAGGGCAGGGTATAAATCCAATCTCTTCTTATCTTCTTTTTTCCCTACTTCCTTCAAAGAGCCAGCTTGATGCAGTGGTTAAGAGCATGGACTCTAATCTGGGAGATCCGACTTTGATTCCCCACTCCTCCACATGCAGCTGCTGGTGTGACCTTGAGTCAGTCACAGTTCTCTCAGAGCTGTTCAATCAAAAGCAGTCTTTGAAAGAGCTCTCTCAGCTCCATCTACCTCATAGGGTCTCTGTTGTGGGGAGTGCTGTAATCGGGGACCCAGAATCAGCTGGTCCTCCCGAATATCAAGGAGGCCAGGCTGGTGGCAACTAGGGCCAGGGCTTTCTCAGTGGCGGCTCCACTCTGGTGGAATTAGCTCCCGGAGGAGATCAGGGCCCTGTGGGACCTGCTGCAGTTCCGCAAGGCCTGTAAAACGGACCTCTTCCACCAGGCCTTTGGAGCCACCACCACTATTGACACCTGACAGAGCGAGCCCGACCCCCTGGGTCCCCTAATCACAGCCCCACCCGATCGCCTCTGACATCTGAGGAAGATTAAGGAGCTGACTGTATGCCGAGGAATTAAATATTAGCAATTTAACATGTAAGAACATAAGAACATAAGAGATGCCAATGTTAGATCAGGCCAAAGACCCATCCAGTCCAACACTCTGTATCACACAGTGGCCAGAAATACCAGTGCCCTCAGGAGCTCCACCAGTGGGGCCAGGAGACTAGAAGCTCTCCCACTGTTGCCCCCCCCCGGCACCATAAGAACATAAGAGAAGCCAATGTTGGATCAGGCCAAAGGTCCATCCAGTCCAACACTCTGTATCACACAGGGGCCAGAAATACCAGTGCCATCAGGATGTCCACCAGTGGGGCCAGAACATTAGAATCCCTCCCACTGTTGGCCCCCCCAAGGACCAAGATGACAGAGCATCACTTGCCCCAGAGTCCCTATCTATATCTTGTGGCTAATAGCCACTGATGGACCTCTGCTCCATATCTATATATCTAATAGTGAAGGTGCCCCCAGGCGTGCGGATACCTAAATCCGCGCATCGGGGGCACCTGGGGGGGAGGGAGATTTTCGTGCACACTTGGGGCAGTCCCCAGGTGTGCACAAAAATCTGAAAAGTTAAAAAAACGGGGGGATACTTAAATCCCCCCAAAAGTGACAAAGAGCAGGGGGGGAGGCGGGGGGGAGAGAGCGAGGGGGGTGGAGGAGACGGAGGAACCGGCGGGATGGGGGGGAGAGCTTACCTGTTCCTGCTGGTTCCTCCTCTGCCTGCTCAGTTTCGCGCTCCCCCCCCCCGGCACGAGTTTCGCGGGTCTTCTTTCTTGTGCTTATCTAATTCCCTTTTGAAGCCGTTGTTATGTTTATGGTTTTAAATTTGTGCTTTAATGGATTTTATACTGTGTATTGTATTCTTGCATTGCATTGTTTTATATCACTTGTGTAAGCCGCCCTGAGCCAGCCTTGCTGAGAGGGCAGGGTAAAAATCTGATAAATATAGGGGTCCGGGCGACGCCATTTGAGGGGAAAACTCTTTGTTTTCCCCTCAAATGGCATCGCCCCACCCCCAGCGTGTGACGTCACTTCTGGGTGACGCACACGGGGTGTGCGCGCGCATGAAGAGGACGCCGTCCGGGAGCCCCCCGCTCCCAGACGAATTTCATTTGGCAACCCTAGATAAATAAATAAATAGGTGGGGCTGAGAGAGCTCTCTGGAGAAGTGCCCTTGAGAGAACAGCTCTGAAAGGACTTAGGACTGACCCAAGGTCACACCAGCAGCTGCATGTGGAGGAGTGGGGAATCCAACCTGGCTCTCCCAGATTAGAGTCCACGCCCCTAACCACTACACCAAACTAGGTGAACAATGGACCAGTGGCCTTATTCAATGTAAGACAGCTTAAACAGGGGGCTGTGGCTCAGCGGTAGAGCATCTGCTTGGCATGCAGGAGGCCCCAGGTTCAATCCCTGACATCGACAATTGAAAAGGACCAGGCAGGAGGTGATGTGAAAGACCTCCTCCTGAGACCCTTAGAGCAGCTGCCAGTCTGAGTAGCCAATACTGACCTTGATGGACCAGTGGTCTGATTCAGTATGAGGCCCCGTCATGTCTTCAATATTGGCCTACCTCATAGGGCTGTTTTAAGGATCACCGAGATATGAACTCTTGAAGTTTGCCATGTATAAACTCCTGTTTACCATGGTGGCTATGGTTTTGGGTGCATCTTGGCTCTTCCGCTGAAACTGGCTTACTGTCTTAGTCCCGGATGAGAGAACAGTTGCATTTGGGTGTTGTGGTGATGAAAAGATCATGTTGCAGTCCTGAGCAGAGGGACGGGATTGTGGCTCAGAGGCGGACCATCGGCTTAGTCCTAGGTTCAATTCCCGGCATCCCCACTTACAGGATCTGGCAACAGGTGATGTGAAAGACCTCTGCCTGAGACCCCGGAGAGCCGCTGCCAGTCTGAGTAGACAGTACTGAGCCAATGCTCTCTCTAAGCTGTAGAGTCTTGTGAGCAAAAATTCTATTTTGTGTGCTACTGACTTTAAAGTTGCCAGTGAGCTGTATGGCATAAATTAGTTGGCTCTGGAGCCATCCTTCCCGAGTGAAAACAAAAATGTGTGAGCCAGAGGCTAAAAAACTGTGAGCTAGCTCACACTAACTCAGCTTAGAGGGAACACTGGTTCCTGACCAGGGGTCATTTCCTGCGGGAGCGCACGGGAGTGGAGCTCCGGCAGTAAGGAGCCCAGGGGGCGGGCACATGCAACAAGCCCCGCCCCTGCTCCCAGCAGCCCTCAGTCGGGCCACAAGGAGCAAGAAGCAGCCAGGTAAGTTACAGAGGGCCCCCCCCGGCCCGCCTTCAGGTACAAGCTCTCCCTCCTCTGTGAGGGCAGATTTACACATTCTCCCCCCCCCAATAGCTAGCAATCCAAAACAGTCCAGTGGAGCCTGAGCAGTGGGTGTTGCCTTCCGACACACTTCCGGTGATGTCAGGGGGTGTGGCATATGCAAATGAGTTATGCTAATGAGCTCCTGCACCTCTTTTTCTACGAAATGACCCCTGTTCCTGACCCTGATGGACCAATCATCTGATTCAGTACAAGGCGGCTTCCTGTGCTGATCGGGCTCAGAAGACATGACAGGGCCGTCGTGTTTCTTTCTTTCTTCTCCCCCCAAAGCGCGCGACACACCCAGCGGTTGCGGTTGCTGATGTCAGGATGGGTTTGAGGGCTTCTCATCAGAAGGCAGCAGAGAGCTGTGGATTCTTCTTCCGCTTTTGCTTAAAACGCTTGGCTGGCGTGTGGGTGGCCCAGCCGGCCTTCTGTGATGTTGAATCCGAGCTCAAAGGGGGAGGGATGTGCATGAATGGCGCTTCGGGAAGCCCCGCGAGCATGATCGGCCTCATTTATCTAGCCGCCTCTCGGTTCATCCACACGGATGCTGTTAAATTTAACGGGAGATCTGCGTATGCCCGCAGGGAAGGAATGCCAGCCGATATGCACCCACTTAGTTTATTCTTCCGTGTGGAGCGCGGGTCGTTTCTGAGGCGGCAGCTCCCCAGAGCTGAAGCTGTTTAAGAAAGGCTGGAGTTACAACCAGGGGTCATTTCCTGCAGGAGCGCACAGGAGCGGAGCTCCGGCAGTAAAGAGCCTGGAGGGCGGGCACATGCAACAAGCCCCAGCCCCTTCTCCCAGCAGCCCTCAGTAAGAGCAAGAAGCAGCCAGGTAAGCTGCAGAGCTCCCCCCCCCCAGATAGCAATCCAAAACAGTCCAGTGGCACCTTTAAGACCAAGTTTTATTCAGGTACCAGCTCTCCCTCCTCTGCGAGGACAGATCTGCACGTTCCTTCCCCCCCCCCCCAATAGCTAGCAATCCAAAACAGTCCAGTGGAGCCTGAGTGGTGGGTGTTTCCTTCTGACACACTTCCGGTGATGTCAGGGGGTGTGGCATATGCAAATAAGTTATGCTAATGAGTTATGCTAATGAACTCCTGCACCTCTTTTTCTACGAAATGACCCCTGGTTTCAACCAGGAGGTGATCACACGTGGAACGTTCAAAGCAGCATCCCAACTGGTCCACCCGCTATGCTACACCTCACCAGGGGCAGATTGGCCATTAGAGCCATTGGGAAGAGTACTGATGGACAGATGGCCTGGGGGACCTCCACAACACTGGGGACACCCCAGCCCCAAGCGATGGGTCGCCCATGCCTGGGACAGGGCTGGTGTGAGCTAACGTGAGCAGGGACCAGTGTTCCCTCTAAGCTGAGTTAGTGTGAGTTAGCTCACAGTTTTTTAACCTCCGGCTCCCATGTTTTTGCCTCAGTTCAGGAAGGAGGGCTCCAGAGCCAACTAATTGATGCAGCAGCCAAATCGCTCGCTCACAGCTTTAATGCCAGCAGCTCACAAAGTAGAATCTTTGCTCACAAGACTCCACAGTTTAGAGGGAGCATTGGCAGGGACCAGGAAATCATAAAACCATAGGGTTGGAAGGGACCTCCAGGGTCATCTAGAAGAAGAAGAGGAGAAGAGATTGGATTTATACCCCGCCCTTCACTACCCGAAGGAGTCTCAGAGCGGCTCCTCTCCCTTCCGCTCCCCACAACAGACACTCCATGAGGTAGGCGGGGCTGAGAGAGCTCTGACAGAAACTGCTCTTTTTCAAGGACAGCTCTTATCAGAACTATGGCTTGCACAAGGTCATCCAGCAGCTCTGAGTGGAGGAGTGGGGAATCAAACCTGGTTCTTCCAGATTAGAGTCCACACACTTAACCACGACATTAAACTGGAGCCTGGGGAGGACGTGGTTTGGGGACAGGAGGGACCTCGGCAGGATATAATGGCAGAGAACGCAGCCTCAAAAGCAGCCATGTTCTCCAGGGGAACTGATCTTGGTCACCTGGAGATCAATTGTATTGGCGGGAGATCTCCAGGTGCCACCTGGAAATTGGCAACCCAAGGCTGGCTGAGCAAGCTCTCCCTCCTTTGGAGGGCCAGGGAAGAGAAGGTGACAGGGCTCTTTTCCAAAGCCGTTTCCCCCCCCTCCCTCCCAGTGTCCCCTCTCCTCACCGACAGGTAGGACCTAGATAATTCCCGGAAATACCGCAGATCTCCAGGCTACCGAGTTCCCATAGAGAAAAAGACTCCTTTGGAGGATAGACTCTATGGCATTATACCCTGCTGAGGCACCACCTCCTATATGGAAAGCCTGAACACCAGGTCGTGACGTCACAGTAATGGCGACGAGGGTAGTCATAATATTTCCTGTGTGGTTTATGTGGGGCTAACCTGAGGGCTGCTGTTAAGTGTGAATCACACCCTGTGTAATGATTTCAGTTAATTGGTTGTGTTCCTTTAAATGTTTTGTTGAATATAGCAGAGTTAGAGAGTTTGGAGTTAAGGTGGTGGCTGAGGTCCCTCACCAGGCTCCACCTCAAAATCTCCAGGGATTTCCCAACCCACGACTGGCAGCCCTAGTGGCATGGAGATTCCCCAGAACGACGGCGTATGTCCAGATAACAGAGAGTCCCCTGGAGAAAGTAGCCGCTTTGGAGGGTGGACTCTACCCCGCCAAGGTCCCTCCTCTCCACAAACCCTGCCCTCCCCGGGCTCCACCCCCAAATCACCCCCAACCCAGACTTGGGCACCCTATTCACCTCCATGAGGAGCTACTTTTGTGTCAGGGTTAAAACGTTGCACTAGACTGGCATAGACCGGGGTTCAACTCCTAGTTCAGCCGTGGAACTCATTGAGTGGCTGTGGGGAAAACCCTCTCGTGGCCAGCTTGGTGTTGTGGTTAGGAGCGCAGACTCTAATCTGGGAGAACCGGGTTTGATTCCCCACTCCTCCACACGCAACTGCTCCTGTGACCTTGGACCAGTCACGGGTTCTTTCAAAGCTGTTCTCTCAAGGGCTGTCCTTGGGAGAGCTCTCTCAGCCCCACCTACCTAGCAGGGTGTCTGTTGTGGGGAGGGGAAGGGAAAGGAGACCGTAAGCTGCTCTGAAGGGTGGGGTATAAATCCAATCTCCTCCTCCTCCTCCTCCTCCTCCTCTTCTTCTTCTTTGCAATGTATGTGTGTGTGGAGGGGGAGATGATACCCACTGCTGCCTTCTTGGGTTCCTGCCTTCTCCTTCTTCCCTCAGCCCTTCCAGCTGCCCTGTGTCTCTGTAGATATCACAGCCAGTAGGGGTTGGGAAATTCATAGACATTGTTGAGGGTGGAGCCCAGGGAAGCGGGTGTTTGGGGACTGGAAGGTCTTCTCAGTGGGATATGTGGCCATAGGGCAGGGGTGGCCAAACTGTGGCTCGGGAGCCGCATGTGGCTCTTTCACACATATTGTGTGGCTCCCGGCAGGCTCCCCATATATTTGCTTTCCTTGTTTCTTTCGCCCTCTCTCCCTCCCTCTCTCCCTCCCTCTCTCTCTCCCTCCCTCCCTCTCTCCTTATCTCCCTCCCTCCCTCCCTCTCTCCCTTCCTCCCTCTCTCTCTCCCTCCCTCTCTCCTTCTCTCCCTCCCTTTCTTCTTCCAC